ACACGATATAACCTCACCTGGAATCCTCAAGACCAGTGGAGAAAAGGAAGGCCAAGGAACACTTTACGTAAAGGAATGGAGACAAACACGTGAAGAATGAACAACGCTTTAGTGAAGTTCGAAAGAAAGGCCCAGGACAGAATAGGTTGGAGAAGGCTGACTAGTGAACTATTCCCGATTGCTGGCACCAGGCGTAAGTAATTAATTAAGTAAACAACACGTCATGTAACGACATGCAAAAAATCAGTCATGTAATGCTAAGCTAACCTAAATACTCATTGATAAGAGTAACTAATAGAAAAATCACGGTAGCAGTATATTTCACAGTAATGTAATAGTAGACTCTACGTGGGAGATGTCACTGAAAAGTTATATTCTGGGATCATTAACACAAATAGGTTGGCTATGTGAGGAATCTTTTATTCGTTCGCGACTGTTCTGAGGATTTCAGAAGTGCGTTGTTATATTACAAAGATCCATAATTCTGTTTGGCTATCTCGATGTGCTTGTTTCAAGAGAAAATAAATCGGAGTTGAGGTGTTCCTGTGATCTAAATAATCCAAGCGGTAGATGAGACTAGTTCATCCAGAGTCCGACAAGAATAGCTTGCATTTGTCAAGGAGGTTTATGCAGAGAGATTTGTCGGAAAAAGCAGTCGTCAAAAGTTCGTTAGCTATTGACCTCTCTCATACGTAACAACATATCAGTTGTTGCAGGTCACTGTTGTGGAAAAGTCGGTCTAATCGTTGTAGATCGGTTAGATCATAATATTTAAAACTCACTTTTGTAGAGTGTCTTATGGTTCGGAAACATCATTTGTATGCATAATATGTGTATCGTACCTGTCCACCTAACAAGGCAGTTCCTGTTCTTCACCAAGGACTCATCCACGTGGTTCCCTTACACCATGCTCATGGAAGTCAGTCTCTTCAGAGAAAGATCATGTTGTTGCTACGCTGAAATAGCATGAGTTGGAAGATTGGAGGAGCGGTAATCTCATTCACGATGGGTAATAATATATAAATTTATATACTGCTGTGATAAAAAACAGGCTCATCTTACCTGGTCGTGGTTTTACATCACAGAAAAATTTTATCAGCAAATCTCTGCTTGGTATCAGTAAAATAAGAGTACCTGAACAGAGATCAGATTCTCTCCGAGAAGCAGCACGGCTTTAGAACATACAATTCAGTCTGAGAAACCAGTTGGCATCTCATAAAACTTGATATGCTCTCGAAGATCAAAAGCTACTTATAGATGTAGCCTCGATAGACCTTGAAAAGGCTTTTAGAAAGTCCCTCACATACGTCACTTACGTGAATTGAGTGATGTTAGGATCGGGCGCAACTCACTTATATGGATTATGGATTTAGTAGTCAGTCGCAAACAAATAAACTCCGCCAGTAGAACCTTCGGGGCTACTGCCGGTCCCAAGCCCGGGTAAAGGAGGAGGGTTGGACATGGGGTTGGCGACCCCATTCCGTCAAAAACTAACTTGCCGAAAAAACGCTAACCAAAACGCAAACAAATAGTACAGGTTGTGTGGCTGAAAAACCTTACTTAGAGGGTTGCCTCGGGGTAAAGTTGCTGGGTTATTGTTGTTCGTCCTGTCTGTAGATGACATTCGAAATTTCCTATCTTCACTGTTTTCTTACATGCTGATGAAATGATGATGTGGAGTGCGATAAAAATTAAAATGATGGTCTACATGGGAATGTTGTCAATATTGGCAACTTATGACAAACTCTTCCATAGCCCAAGGTCACCGAAATACAAATAAATGCACGGGGAATAACAATCTAAGTTACATGTTATTCAGATACACAATAACAAAGAAGTCATCATTAGTCAAGATTTGAAAACTGCTCTACGTGAATCTGAGATAGCGGCAAAAGTTTGGGAACCCTTTCGTCTATATGTAGAGCCTTTAGACATGCCTTATTTCGTACACTTTTGGCTTTGTATATAATATTCACCCATTCAAACCTGAGTAATGGATAAAAGCAGCAAGTCCTGTAGATGGATTTTCTACCCTAGCAGTTCACTCCGATTCCAATAGGTGCAGGTTGGCACTCGACGTCCCAGATCCAAAACCAAAACACAATAATTCTGGGAGAAAACGGTCTTTATTAATTATGAAATGGAAATACAGACAATTACCCAACTATTGGTACACCTTCCAAGTCCAATTTACCCTGGTGGGTATCCGTTTCTGGAAGAATAAGTTCTTCCAGTCCGAATCGCTACGGTATCAAATCCAAAAATGGCTGTAGCCATATTAAATATCAAATTTAAACAACATATGTACAGTTCAGAAGCAAATATAAAAACTTCAATATAAGTACAAGATATAGAAATAATAACAATAGACAATGATAAAATCTCAAAATGGAATCAAATATAGTACCGAAATGTCAACAGAAACAGTCAGTCATATCATAACACAAATATTTATACATGGATGGATTTTCCAAAAAACAAATCCTTCAAAATAGATTCTACAAGTCCTGCCTAAAAAGAGACAGTGATCCTTCGAGGACAGGACAGGTTTTTTGCCATAATCTCAAAGCTGTCGCATGGAGAGACTAATTAAATTAACCATATTTATGAAGAGGCGAATAGTTTTCTCGTTTAGTATGTCTGTCTTTATCATCCAAACAATGGTGTCAGTCTCATACTTTGCTTTTCAGCTTGCTGCGTAACCTAATGACAATATTACCACATGCTACATCGAAGCTTTTTGACGGTGGCGCTTCCTTCAGGTGTACACCAGACATTTTCATCTGCATGTTTTGTGACTCAAAAAAGTTTGTTTTTTACAGTCCGTATTTTTGATAATTCATTTGGACAAGATATTTTATTGATGCATGTCATTTGAAGTGCATTTCTTGCTACCTTTCTGCATATGTTAATGCTTAATTACCAGGCATGAGAATTCTGACTAATCTTTACATTTTACTGTTAAATTATCAGAGATCCTAATCACGAATAATTGAAATCGTGAGTAAGCTGGGATAATTGTTGGCTGCCAAAGAAACGGAAGAAGGTGATTTTCAAAAGAAACCACTATTAAAGCCTTCCACCTACAGGTCCAATTCACAAGGCGGTAGAGCGAGTTTCAATATAACCTGTGAAATATCTTGTACCTCATGTCATACTCTATTTAGAAGTTCCATATTTAATGAAAAATGGAGGATTGCTAACTGCCTATCCACACTTTCAATACGGAGTAACTGAACTGACCTCACGACTTCTTTGTAAATGAAACTAAGTAAGACCCTTGTGATAGTTTATTTTTTGCATAAGTAGTTTTTCTTTGACTTTGTTTTCATTAAGATGAGGTTATCGAGATCGAAACAGAATCCTTGATTGTAAGGGTCATAATAATGATGAACATATGAATGGAAAATATAACTTATAGGATATATTTGCGTCTTTTTCTAATGTAAGTGACATTGTTGGAGAAAAGTGAGTTATCTGAACGAATGCTGCGCAATTTTTAAACCGTTCGGTTTATTTCTATGTCGAAACAGGAGTTATTTTTGTAGGAACACATAAAATACATCTGTGAACTGTGCACAGACATATGCATCACCGGTAGTGTAAAGAGCGAAACAGTCAACGCTCCACATTTCATTCACCTGACTTAGAGAATCGAAAGGTTTCAGCTGAGCTAAAAAGCGTATTAGTCAGACTGATGATAGCAGCCACCTATGTAGGGTTGATTGCTGTGAGAAGGGTTTCGTCTTGAGTTTCAGGTTTGTAGTAAAATAAGCTTTATAAAACTCTTTGGACATCCGGAATCATAGTGGATGGATGCCGTCAAAATATTTACTACTTACAGCAGAACCACGGAGCGAGTAAACTTATGTCCAGTGGCATAGAAATATATCAACATGCCAAAATAGTTGATAGGGTTATGGATCTTCACTAAACAGTGAGGTTGCAATAAGCTTTGCGGATGTCTATACATTCTGACCAGATATAAAAGTATTAGGAACGATTAGACTGAGAAATAACACACGTTCATAAAGTCAATAGCGATTGGACTGAGTTATTTTAAGATGTTCAGTTTTCGCCGTTGAGGTTCACCGTACGATCGTAAATTTTGTTTTCTGTTAGACACAGACTGTTTTACGTTGGAAAGTTAGTGTCAGAATATTCACTTACACCAAATTTTAATAAGTAGGCTAGTTTCAGCTAATGGTAATCAAGTGATAATGATTATCACGGAAAAAGTAAGCAAACGTCAGCTCGTTGAGTTTATGCAATAATAAATCCGAACACGTTGATGAGTTCATCTCCAATGTTTTTAGAAAGTATTCATAGTTTCTCTAGAAAGTTTTATACCAGTCTTATACTGTCAGTTGTTATTTCGGAAATTATCAAACAAATCTTGTCCACATATTCCAGTGTGTCAACTTGACTGCAGTTTTTGCTTATGGTGTAACAGATAAGGTATATCATCCTTGTAATATAAGGTGAAAGTTGGGAACATGCTAGTTTGATGGAAAGAATTATTGATTAGCGGTTGGTATAGCTAGTCTCTTTTTTAAAAAACTCAAACTTGTTGACAAATCCACAATACTCGAGTATCATTAATATTCAAAGCTTGAAAGTTATTTATGCAATAGAGTGGCTTAAATCAAAGTGGATGGAGCGAAATTCCAAAGTATCTGTCATCACTACAATCATTGGATTTGCATACACAAATTAGTTACTACAATTATAATACTAACTTTCTCTCAAACTTGTCCAGTTCACTATCCAGTTCAGCACAGAAATAAATCAAGACACTTCAATCATACCATTTAAATATATTGTCAAACACTAAATAATAAACAACAATATCAGTCAGACGTTCATAATTGCGAGTAGTATGTTGTTAAAAAGTTAATAAGATCAAATTTAAAAACTCGAAAAGACAAACAACAAAGTCATCTATTTTCATTATCTATTTGTTTGTTCGATTTCGCACCATATATTATATTCAATCGAAATTAATTGAGCTCATCCTGTTGATAGGCAAGTAGCATAACACGATGTTCGGAACCATGTCGAGAAGCATACTGTTGCCTACATGCTACCATGGTTGTTGATACATGTTGATGACTGTGAGATTTTCGGTTGTCATTTGATGATTTATAAACTGAAGTAGTATGTAATAGATTAGTTAGTACTACTGAATTGATATGTTCCTGGAAAAAAAAAGATAATTCTCACAGAAAACATCTTATCGCATAAAACATTGGCAAATTTTTTTACAAAATAATTGGAAATACGAAAGTCACTGGAGTAAAACTATTAACATGTGATATGAATGTTCGTTTTTCAGTGACTGAACATGGTGGTGCATAGTCGATCAGTCCATAAGTAGTGATCAACACTGACAGAATTTAATCAACACATGAACAGCCAAACATCATTTGAGTTGGTGGAGAAAATACGTAACTCAGGTGGATGATCTAGGTGGTGTATCGTTCTCTGAGCTGGACGTTTTAGCTGGGGAGCTTCCATTATTCTTCTTAACCACATTATCAGCACAAACTTCAGATAGAAACTCCACAACCCAAATGCGATACCGCCACAAACATTTTAGTCTTAAGGATCAGTCGTGGGTCAGTTAGCTCAATAGTAATGTTTGAAACTAGCATTTTCTATATTTAAAAATAATGTCTTTGAACCCTAATCTTTTTGATTGCCGCTTTTACTTCTACCGCCTCTATCAGTATGAGATTTGGATTGACAGTTGCATCTCTCTGTGCTAATGTGTTATGGTAACGTGAACTGATACACGTAGGAAGTTTGTATTTCTATGTTGTAGCTCACTTACTGAACTTACTTTTCACACTTTGCATACTTGTCAAGTGGGTAATTATCTTTCTCACATTTCATTTCATGTTAGTACCTCTCTTCATTCTTGACCAGTAGGCAATTTCGTTTGACATACGACATGATGCCATCTTTTACGCCTATCTCTTCCAGCAGGGTATTTCAATTGTAAAGCACTAACTGAACATTTACGATTATTCAGTTAGACCTGGCACCCCGAAATGGATTACCAAGTCACCCAGTAGTTCACTAACCAGCAGCCGTTCCAATCGTTTGGCCTCCAACTGCCTTACTCTGATACAATCTATCAGAGCCCTCAAACTTGACATGAAGCTGAAGATCGAGTTTGTCCCACAAGGTCAACCGGAACGTACATCCTCTCATGGGGGAGATGTCATGAACCCAACCAAGCGCAAGCATTCAGCCAAACAGGGTTAATCCCACTACATAAGTGGGCAGACATCATTGACCTCCCAATACCCTTTCAGCTCTGGATCGCATAAACCAACTGGATATCCTTGATTAAGGGGCCTCGACGCTAGTTGACACACTACACCGGGATGCAGAGTGTTTGGGACGACCACATAGGGTTGGCGTCAATAATCCGGGATCTTTACGGCTGCTTCCACAAATAAATCGTCTAGGGCCGCCTTCAAGAAAGCTGGAAAGCTATATACCATTATTTCAAGTTTACCTACACTCTGGGCGTGATTCAGACTAAAAGACGTTGGGTCCTAATCCCCTAGAGTACCAAAGCCGCATCCACGTCCCTGCCACCATGAACACGTGCCATTATTCTGGGCCATGCTAGGCACAGCATCCTAAGCTTCCAGAATGGCTTTTAGTCGCAGCTCTGTAAACAACGCCACGTTGCCTGGCGGGACCACGAAGAGGTAGCCGCCACCACAATCCCCAAAAGGCTCTGTTTATGCAAGTCACCTAATATGCCGATTCAATTAGATGACGAGGCATTTAGCTAATGATGGTCAACCTACAGTCCTGCTGCACATGCACATCGCTGCTTTGATAGGCAATGCAAAGATTCTCACTGTCGCCAGCAGTAGTCACCCCTGCCCCAATCGGGAACATACATGTTGTCCGGGTTGGTCTGCAGACAAGTTGAACATCCAAAAAGCAGGCACACGAGCAAAGGCCCCCGCACGGGCACTTATGAATCGAGAAATCCAACCAACCAAACCACAGCCCATTATCCCCAATCGCCGAGGGGGGCAAGGTGGGCTTTTCCATCAGGACATGGTACCCCGAAGCGGATTACCGAGCCACCCAAGCAGTGCACTAACCAGCGGCCGTTCCAACCGTCTGGCCTCCAACTGCCTGGCGCTGATACAATCGATCGCAGTCCCCAAGGCCCCACATAAAGCTAAAGATCGAGTTTGTCCCACATGGTCAGGTAGAACTTACACCTTTCCATGAGGAAGATGTCATGAGCTCGACCAAGTGCAAGCGCTCGGCCAAACAGAGTTCATCCCACAGAAGTAGGCAGACATCATTGGCGTCCAGTACCAGTTCAGCACTGGAACCTCGGAACCCTACTGGGTTATCAGTTAAATTATGATGATGATCTTCTTCACTGTCCGATAACACTTCACCTTCAGAACAACTTGTATCCCATGGTGTACAATTATTGTGATGTAAACGAAGTAAACTACTCACGTTACTGTTAAATTCTGATTTTATTGATTTACTGAAATGTTCTACCGGTTTATTGTAGTTTTTTAGTTTTTTTTACAGATGAACAAAATGATACAGGAAAACAATCACTGGTACAAATGGTTATACTAATAAATGTTTCTGTTACATCAATCGCGTTCTGTTCTTCAAAACAGATCACTGTAAGGTAAAGGATTCGCACTGCCATTGATGAGTAGTGACACCGGAAGTCCTGGGTTTGATTCCCACTCGACGAATCGTGGATGCGCACTGCGACTGATGAAACGTTCACCTTGTGAGTCACGGTTTCCAGCGGTGGTTGAACATTCATCAGCTTATTATCCCAAATGAGCTCAACAATCTCCACAGTTGTATACTGATAATAATCATATACTTGATAATAAAAAAATAACGAAGCAACTTACATCGGTTTATCATCAATTACATTATTCATAGTAGATTGAATTAATCCTATCTTTTCTCTTAAATTCGAAAATTTAACAGATTTCGATCTAGATTGTTGTTGTTTTTGATTATTCCATTTGAAACGATCATATCGATCAAGAGCAGCTTGGAGTATAGCAGGGTTTAAGCGTACTATTTGCCTGTATTTAAATGAAATGAACTATTGATTTAGTTAAAGATAGAATGATATAACTTGTATGAACATCATTTTGCCAACACAACAATTGGAAATCTAAAAGTATTCGATAGGGGTTTTATTCTTGGATAGAATAGGTCACAATGTGAACAGTGATCTGAACTACTGTTAGAAGTGAAAGGCTGGTTATCGCTTCACGGTTAGTGGCAATGTGGAAGGATAACTTACTTTGAAACAACTCGGAAGGATGTCAGGTGAGAAATGCTAGTGACAACTTTGCAGTAACTTATTAAGGCTGATCACTGTCATTTTATGGACAGTTCATGATCTGTTTATTCCTTATTGTAAAGAATCAGTTGCCGGAGCAGGAATTCGTGGGTTAAATAAAATGAGCTGTATAAGTTTTTGGTGACTTTTTTCTGACCTCTTTCTTTCACTGTGAGGAGGCAGCATCAGTTTAGGTATTGGCTATTTAAAGCAGACATCGGCTAATATTCCAAGTACCACAAGGTTGTATTTTTTCATTTCTGCAGCGAATCGGATGACTTTTCCGGTCTCTCAAAATGTGCAAAACGTTTAGCTACCTAAATTAATTGTTGCTGTCGTTGTCAGTTGGGCTATTTGCCTCATGACTTACGAAGAAACTCGGCTTTAATCAAGAATTGACGCAACTGTTCTGAATGAAGACCGTCCAACTTCCGTATCAGAGTTTAAACAGTGTCAATTATTTGTTTTGTTTGGCGTTCTTGGTGCGAATTGGTCTTCTATGCCATGTGGTTGCCTACCAGATGTCCAACTCTACTCTACTTTTCAACTTCAGGACCGGTAGTATTTCTAAAAGGGCTTCTGGCGGAGTGCATGTAAAAACACAGATTGGTAAAGCAAAGCAAGTGAAAAGGATACGTTGGCCAGACCCATCAGTAGCAATCTACTGTGGAGAAAACAAACCGGATCCTAGTGTCAATGAAAACTAGGAAAAAGCGTTTGGAGCGAACAGGGCGTATATTAAGGAAATCAACTAAATGCATCAGAAGGCAAGCCCTGATTTGGAATCTCCAATGCCAAAGGGAAAGAAGAAGACCAAGGAACCTGTTACGCCGAGAATTCGAAACAGACATGAAATGAATGAACGTTAGTTGGGTAGAATGTCTAAAACAGAGTGGTTTGTAGAAAGCTGGTCGTTGGCCTTTATATAGTTCAAGCAGATAGTTTTAATATAACCTAACGCCTAGATCGGTCATAGTTGTTGTCTTAAACATTTAAAAATTCAGTCACATTCATAAACTTTTTTTCGAACATCTTACATAATAGCTAGTCTAACGTTATAATCAACCTACCCAGCTTAACAGCTGAGAGAGAAGGGCGATTTATCATCTTTGTAACTTGCTCAGAGCACCGACTGCATGAATCTGTAACCGTTTTCGAGAAATCCTGCATAATGGATGTTACTTTGATTTTGGATCAAGCTAATTGTTAATTGTATGTGAAAGAAGCTGAACATTTATTGATGTGACAAGGATAATTCTTACCTTATTCCAAACTAAAATCCAAAGAGCTCTTGAAACTATGTTGACATAATGATGGTGGTCCAATGGATAAAGTTCGGCAATCAACAGGAACATAAATTTTTAAAGATTACATATGAAGCGGCAAATCAAACTTCAAAATAAATGGTTTTGTAGATTTTTCGACATTGATTCTAACCTAATTAGCCTCACTGGACATACCACATAGCTAAAAGCGCTCAGTCACAATCCAGACCAAATCACCGAAGGATACGCCGTGGAAAGTGTCTCCTTGTACCACCAACTAACAAGCTTAGTTCACCCCCTCCTCCGCGAGATCCTAAACCTCTTTGAATTAAACCACCAATCCTTTTCATTCCTGACTTCTGATTTGAGGCGACAGGTTCTATTCGTTGATGATGTGATTGAAAGATTGGGGGAGCGCTGACACGTAATTTAGTTCCGGAATTGTGAGTATTTTTAAAATGTCTTCGGAAACTCCATCTTCTGCAATCCGCGATAAAAAAGAGAAAATGTTAAACGTAAAATTACTGTTTTTTCATTTAAAAACTGTTGTAAATTTCGCTTGCGATATTACAGAAGCTTATAAATCAGAATATTACCAGTTCTGATATTACTGAATCGTATTATTATGACTTTAGATTTTGAAGATTTTGACCATGGATCGGAATTCTTCAATTTTAGTTCAGTGTTATGCTTAAGGCTACACAAATATATTATCTCCGCATTTTGACTTGGTTTCCAACAAAAAGTTTGTAAGGGAACGCCGACACAAGAATATCCTAAGAAAACTTCCATAATCTCTAAACAGCAAAATCTTTCTTAGCCCATTTTTACTAACTAAAAACATCTTTTTTCACTACAGATGGTCTCCATGCTGGTTGGGTGAAGTTTTGTCTTTAAGAAAGGAAAACTGGTGATTTTCATTTCAAGACGACTGACCAATAGTAAACAAGGATATTCTAAGACTCAGAAAGAAGCTTTATCTGTGATAAAGGCACTACAAATGATGCATTAGAACGACACAGATATAAGCGAATAATATCGTTGTTTTCGATTAGATCGTCATCAGGCTACTTTACTCTAATATACATGAATATTTATATGAAAATGTTAAATCAGTCAAGGCAGTTCGAGTGATAATCACAATGAAATGAAATAGAGATTACGTCACTACACATAATAGGCGAAAAAGCACAAGTTGATAGTGTAGGATGAAGACAGAGGTGTACTGATAGTAGTAAGAAAATTATAAAATATGATAACTAAAGTTTTATCAATAGTAGGTCAAACCTCATGGATGAATAGACTTCAAATAATCATGAAAAAAATGTTATAAGCAAATGTGTAAAAATAAAAAATATATAGTGTCAATCGTTAGTTACGTCATATTCGGGCCACGGAACAGATAGGGGTGTCACGAATTTATTCTGAACACATAAATAGGGGTTGAATATACGAATTCCCATGGCTTCTCCCATATATATAGTCGACGGGATTGAACTCCGTCGGGAAATGATTAAGGTATACGATAGATCACTCGAAAAGATCTACACTTATCTACAATATGACCACTATCAACCAGGTATGCTAAGATCGAACTGAGTATTTTTTATTTTTGACTGACCCTTCTTAAACCATGCTGCGGTGAGATGTTCACTCATTTGTTGGTTAAGTTGCCTGGTAGAGTACGCCCGATGTAGCTATCTACACCACAGGAGCAGTTGAATTTGTAAATGCACATAGAGGAGGCCAGTGTGCATCGGTAATTGTTTAGTGTAAAAGTCTATATTATTTTAACTGACGATGTAGTGAACGAGAACACAGTCGGGGCAACCGAATTGTATTTAACGAAAATTACAGAGTTACTCAGTAAAATTGGAAAACCATATCGTAAATCGTTCATTTGCAAAATATCAGTTCATCATATCAAACTGGACTGTTCCTGTTGCAAAACATCAATCCATTGTCACTATTCATGCGTTTGATACAAATTCCATTGTTTTCTAACTCTTCCTTTCTTGATGTTCCCCCATCTTCTGCTGCCAGACATTACGTTGACACTCATGTCATATACTACTTATAAGTAGCTCACACCACAATGATCAGCCGGTAAAGCTCATTCGACACTAACCTATGTCATACACCGTCCGCCGTTGGCTGTTACACAGTTCAGAGGAATGGAATTCAATGCTTATGATACTACACAATAAGCTATAAAACTCTGCCTAATTAATGTTAAACACTTATCATCTAAAATGCTTTCAAATTAAAACTATTCCTTGTTTAATTCAATCTGCTTACTTTAATATACTAAAATCACGTTCATAGCCAACTAATAAATCTTCTTTATGTTGTAATTGATCTTTTAATATTTCAATTCTATGTGATAATATATCCATTGTTTTTAAACGATCTTTTACAACTAGATCTCTTTCCATACTTGAAAGTTTAATCAGTGATTTTTGATCTGGTATATGATCTAACATCTCTAGACTATTTGAAATTGATTGAACTAAACTTAAATAGCATTCTTCTGAAACCTGAAAAATGAAGCAAAAAGGGGATTTTATTGATTTTATATGAAACAAACTGCTAACTAGTTGTGTTTGTTTGAACAATTCAACCCGAAAAACTTGTTTGTTTTCTCATTCAGTCTTTATTGATTAAAGGGGAGGCTTTGCAGTAGAAAAAATGTCCATGATTACTGGCTGAATTCGGTTTTTTCTTACAGAAATGTCAGTCACTCTGGTTACGATGTTTCTTACAAGATTACATCGTAGGCGCAACCGAATTTGGTATCGTCAGAGTATAAGGAAGATACTGATCAACGAACATATTACTTCGAGGTATGCATCAGCTAATTACATTAGTCTAGAACTGCAAAAGGGAGTATTCAAGACAGAGTAGGTTGAAGATTGTTGGTCAGCGCTTTATGTTCTACAAGGGCTGACAGGAGTAATTAAGTTGATTGATCAAACTGACCTAGTTATGTTGTGAGATGGTGGAGAAAACTTGTAGCTCAGGTGGATGATTGTGGTGGTGTTTCGTTCTCTGAGCTGGTTGTTTTGGTTGTGGAGCTTTCATTGTTCTTCTGAACAACATCATCAGAAAAATCATAGGTGACACAGGATCAAGAAACAGTTCAAAAGGGGGAGTGCAATCAAAACAAAGTTGCAAACAACGACAGGTTTAAGGGCAACAGCAACCAATCAAGATCGAGGTTAGCAGAACAAGCTACAGGTCAAACGTGGAGAAATTCGAATGCTTCACTTCTATCTGAAGTTTGTGCTGATGATGTTGTTCATTGGAAGAAGAATGAAAGCTCCACAACCAAAACAGCATCCAGCTCAGAGAACCAAACACCACCACTAGTTATGTTGTGTTTGAACTACTGATCACTTGAAATACTTGCGTTCAAGCCATAATCACAACATGGCAAATAATAACTGACAGATATTACTTCTATTTTCCAACCCAAAGGACAAGTAGCAAATTAGATCGAAGACGCTTGATAGATTACACTTTCAGTTGATATTTTTTGTCAAACTTTATAACAGTGTTTATCATGTGAATAATTCGAGAGGTCAATTATTCTTCATTTAAGAAAAAAAAAGTTTCTCTTTTCTTGAGTAAACTTAATGACAGTCAACGTTGTTTATCTCTAAATAACACTGCAGAATAAATAATGCAGTTATCTAAGCTAATTGAATGTTCGTTTTGATGAATCTCCCTTGATAACAACCACACAATATAAATAAATGCTCCATATGTACGATTTGACAGTAATAAGATGCTGTTTAACTCATCGCCAGTCATTCAATCATTGACGTACTGGACTGTATGTAGAACAGCACAACTGATTGTTAGGATATTCATCCAATCAATATCCTAAGAGCATTGTTGGGCAATTCCGATTGGTTTATTCTTACTGGTCAATTTTATGGTCATCCTAGATATCAATCAATGTCACGTACTCCGATGTTTTTCCTATTGGTCATCTCAACTGTCAATGTCACAGACTTCGATGCTGTTGTAGTGCCTCCACATATATTTCAGTTCTCTCACATCTAACTTGGTTAAGCCCTTTCGATTAATTTATTTAACCAAGCCATTTGTAAAACAATAACTTATATGTACCATTGGCTTTTATTATTGTGTGGTTGTATGCGCTGGTATGATTGAACAATTGCGCGCATATTCATACTTTTCGCTTTAATGTTAATCTCGTAATTTTCCCATGAACTCACATGATTTGTATCGCTTGCTTTTGATCTTGTCAATCATTCGTCGCTTTTATTCATGTATGTGCATGCCTATTTCGCTTGTCATATATCTGTCTTATTCTTATCTGACTATATATTCTTAGTCATACTCTATCTCTTTGAGTTGGCTCACTAGCCTTTTCCTATTCGCTTCATTCATTCGCTCGCATTGTAATCCAAGGAGTTGGCTCACTAGCCTTCTCCAATTCGCTTCTCCGCTTCGTATTGTGATGTGCCTCGAATAAACGTATACGATACTTGGAGTTCATCTTCTGATTTATAAACCGAGCTTAAGAACACGCAGTCAATCGGCACACTACACTGTTTCCTATTCAACCTAAATGTATAAATACACATCGCCTGTAACGTTTTATGGATCAGACCCGGACCGAGATCCTTGCCTTCTTCTGGACTCAGACATCGTACTTTCTGGACGTTTGTAGAATACAGGTTCTATTTCATATCAAGTCTTCTTCTTTCACTCAATATTGAGGTTGGGACACTCGGATTAGAGTAGCATGTCGTGTCGCCGGATCTTCGTACCTCGCTCTCGTTTTCCAACAAACGTAAATTAGAAAATAATAATGTTTACGTGTATTCGTAACATTGATTCAGGAATAAAAACCCAAGATATCATATAGTTATTTATCTGTTTACATATGTGGTGTGTGCTACTTATACGAACGATATAAGTAGTATAAGAAGGGACGTGAAAGAAGAAGAATTCGTACGGTCAGAAGAGGAAAACGGAAAGCAAATGGAGCAAAAGCAAGAAGTAAATGGTGTACCAACAGAGGAAGGAAAGGAAGCAACAACAGGAATGGAAGAAGGATGGAGTGTTGGAAGTCACGACTCAAAGATGGTGTGCAAATAGTGTTCAATGTAATGTTTTCGTTTTCGTCTTGTGGGGCAATTCCTCTTCCAATGTCCGGTACCTCCGCAAATATAGCATTTATTATTTCTTCCACCCTTTATTCGTAATGCTGCCCCCTCGCGTTGTAATTCTTCTATCTTCTTCGCGACATCATCAGCCTGTCTTTCACACGCCGCCGAGGCGACTGTTGAGTTCATCAGTTGTCTTGTTACTTTAGCCAGCTCGGTGACGTCCATTGGTTGTGCCGCGTTCACCAGTCTCAACTGTTGGGCAACCTCTGCAGGCATACTTTCTATGAATTGCGACGCTAGCAGCTGCGCTTGCGACTCCTCATCCAAATTCGGCAGACCCCGGCGCAGCAATCTTGTCAACTCCACAGCCAGCACGAGTGGGTCCCACGCCCTCTGGTCCTTGACTCCTACCAGCTCCGTCACGGCCTCGAACTCTTTCAAGAAGCCCCTTACATCTCCGTCTTCAAACTCCTGAGGCCATGGGATCTTCATCCTGTGTAGAGGCAGCGACACCAATTGAGAAGACTGAGGTTGGCGCGGAAGATTTGAATTATGCAGATTTACACTCTGAGCCAATTAAAAACGACAACATCACATTGAATACTCTATTTGCACACCATCTTTGAGTCGTGACTTCCAACACTCCATCCTTCTTCCATTCCTGTTGTTGCTTCCTTTCCTTACTCTGTTGGTACTCCACTTACTGCTTGCTTTTGCTCCATTTGTTTTTCGTTTTCCTCTTCTGACCGTGCGAATTCTTCTTCTTTCACCTCCCTTCTTATACTACTTATATCGTTCGTATCAGTAGTACACACCACACATATATAAAAATTTGGGAAAACTTCTTACACGTAGAACATCCAATGGATTTCTCAATTCTTTTCTTTCATCATTTGGAGTTTCATGTAAAAGTTTTATTTTTAATTCATATTCACTATATGGAGGATTATTTAATACTTTATTTGTAATTTTTAATTTTCTAAATATTAAATAAGAAAAAATAAGAAATAAGAAAGTTAAAATTCATTGAAACATTGAACAATGAATTGTTATAGTGTAAGTAAATTGACTGAAAATTCTTTTTGCGGTAGATTTGATTAGTAGAAGATTATCAATGGGACAGAATTGGATTTGAATCAGGAGGTTACCACCATAATGCGACCCTCTGAAGTTAGCTATTTAACTAATGTTTTGTTTATTGTTGATGTAGTTTATACATATTCATAGGTTAGTTTGACTGGTAAGGAATGGAATTTATACACCTCACATTCCGTTTATTATCTTGGGAAAATTTTAATTCGACTTAAATTTTAATGTGATTATGTGACAGGGGCCAGTTACCACGGACTAAAAGCTTCATTGACAAGAACATATCCTGAAATTAAATCTAGAGATATCTCCCTGATATCTCAGGTGGATACACTGAAGTCCTTGAAGGTGATTGTAAACAATTGAGTATCATCCCCATATTCTAAAGTTCGTTCAAGCTGTAGCCGTCAAACTTATGAAATCAAATTTATGTGTTCGAAAATAAACAGTAGCGAATTTTTATTTTCATAATAACAATCAATACATCCATTGTGTTGCGTGATCGTTTATTTCAACTCTTTCTCATGATTTAATTATATCATTCTCAGTCTCCTTCATTCACAATGTGAATTCTGATGACTTAACTGATGTCAAGTCATCTCATTCTTTATTACCGTTAAACTTATTTAAGTCAATTAATCACACAACTGTTCGAATTCCAATCATTAACTACTAGTTTAATATGTTCTGCGATTATCGTCTTACAATGTAAAATATCCGAAACGAATAATTTTATGGATGTATCAACTTTATTGGAAACTTTATTTCATCACACGTACGCATATATTTGTCTCCGAACACTGTAGTATTTATTTATAAGCATGTCGATTTCTATGATCATTTTAATTTTTAAATATCATACGTCATTGCGTACAGCTGGATGTTCTCTTTCACTATCGGATTTATTAGCTATAAACATCTTTCTTACCCCTTTCATCCTAGTTTATAGTTTGTTTTACGATTAACAGTATCATAAACTCCGAATCATTGCACTTTTAATTATAGAGAATAACAACACAACTGTCATCTGTTCACTACTATCAGCGATGACATTTCCAAATAGATTTGCCAAACCGTTTAACTAAGGAAGTTGTAACTTGTAAAATCGAGGTACTCAATGATTTTATAGGATGAGAATAATGTTGAATATAACAAGTTTATGTAAGGAAAATGATAGAGCTTTGGATCACGATTCAGTCATTCAATATCAACCATCATGTTCAATCCATAAGAGGTTCAAGGTTCAATCATAAACCAAGTTATAGATTTCGAAAGTTGACGAAACATTCTTCTTGATGGAGTTTCATTCTGTTTGAACTGAGAGATTGTTTTGTGAAGCATTTGTGGCACAGTTAGACAGCTGCGTTTTAAAGCAATCTGTCCGTTTTATAAATTTTGATAGAACAGTGAGAAGACGTAATTGATATGAAAAATATTGTGATGAATTTGCACCCTTTCTTATTCTTTTCATATTACGTTAATTTTCTCTCTTGCCTTAATTTACAATGATCATTTTGTGTCGCTATTTGAACTTTTATTTAACTGACCTTTTATTCATCTTCATATCAAAATGCCTTGATAAGTAAATATTTGTGACCAAATGTGTATAGTACCTAAATACATCACAACATTTTTCAGATCAGTTACGTCTTCTCACTGTTCTAGCGAAATCAGTTTGTCGGCAGTATTGAAAATTGTTCACTATTTAAGTTATCAAAATGGTCTAATTTCCAGTGAATAAAATTAATCAAGCCGAATAATTCACTTACGCTCAATCAATACTATTTATCCTTTTTTGTGAATACCCTTCGGATTAACAACTAATGCCGGTCAAACATTTCAGAGATTTTTCGCACAGAGTTTTGGAGGTTTCGTGTTTTTACACACCACCACCATTAGAAACATGGAAGAAGCACTGAAACACGGCCGTTTCGTCCTGGTATGGGACTCATCAGTGGAAGTGAGCATCCTAGACTCCTGCTCCTCGCAGGATTCGAACCCGGGACATCCGGTATTGTGCGCAAACGCCTAACCATCGGACCACTGGGCGGGCATTCAACAGTGTTAATGTCTAACTCTGAATGATCTAGGGATTTTGCTGCGACCTCACCCATTTGTCTTTTGATAGTTACTGCCTACACCGGACAAGGTTGAACTCCATTGGTCGCGACTTCTCAACTAGAGATGTTGAAGGATGAATTTTGAGGTTTATGGAGAGGCCTTGGCTATTAGAAAATTAAAACACCATTATGTTTACAGAAACAATTTGCCATAAACTTGAATTTGCCTTGGTAATCTTTAAGCCTAGGGTAATGTGACAATTTTCCTACCCCTCTTATTATTTTTTTCAAATTACGTTAATTTTCTCTCTCCTTTAGTTTTACAATTATCACCTTATTTCTCTATTTGAACTTTTATTTAATTGACCTTTTATTCATCTTCATATAAAATGCCAAGGTAAATCCAGAGATTTATCGACAAATTGTAAGTTTTGTGAAAGCTTTGGCTATTCATAAGTTAAGAACCCCTTTCCTTATGAGTACAGAAATAGTTTGTTATAACCTTGAATTTACCCTGGTCATCTTTATGTCATTTTATGGTCGAGGGGGTTAATGTGACAATTCCCTACCCCTTCCAATTCTTTCTCTCTATATATTTTGCGTTGATTTCCTCTCTCTCCCTCATTTACAATTATCATCTGATGTCTATCTGAACTTTTATTTAATTGACCTTTTATTAATCTCTTCATATCAAAATGCCTTGACAAGTAAATATGTGTATAGCGCAGATACATCACAACATTTTTTCAGATCAATTACTTCTTCTCACTGTGTTCTATGAAAACTACTTTTTTACACAACGATTAAACTATTATTTAACTGAAATAAGTCAATCTACTACAATTCATCATTTCGTGAACTACTGACACCACTACAACTGTGAACATTTCACCCGGGTTCATTAAAAATCAACCAACGAAACCACGAAATAAATTTCATTTGTAACCATGACTCGATCAATGTTAGACCACCATTAGAAACCTCATACAGGTTGCGCGACTCCGTGAATTTGGTCAAGTTAGACATTAATTAACACCGTTAAATACCGGCTCAGTGGTCTAAAGGTTAGGTCGTTCGCGCAAAATATCAAAGGTCCCGCGGTTCGAATCCTGGCGGGGTGCAGGAGTAGTGGATGCGCACTGCCACTGATGTGACGAGTCCCATACCAGGACGAAACGGCCGTGTTTCAGTGCTTCTTCCAGGTTTCTGCAAATGGTGTAATTTAACATTGATCGATTCATAGTTACAAATAAAAAACTTAACAATCTTCATAACAACGCCGCAATGCAGTTACATGTGTCCACTAGTGACTAGCTTGGTGAGGAATCTTCTCCGAGTTCTAGTGGGAAGTCGTGACCAGTGAAGTTCAAACCTGTTCGGATATATACAGTGTATGAGGTAGCGCAACTCCGTGAATTTGATCAAGTTAGACATTAATTAACACCGTTAGACGCCGGCTCAGTGGTCTAACGGTTAGGGCGGGCGTTCGCGCACAATACCAAAGGTTCCGCGGTCCGAATCCTGGCGGGGTGCGGGAGTCGTGAATGCGCACTGCCACTGATGTGATGAGTCCCATACCAGTGCATCCAGGTTTCTGCTAATTGTGTATGTAATCTAACGTTGAACGATTCATGGTTTCAAAAATGTGTAACTTAACAATTTTCACAACAACAATAACCCCGCAAATGAAAATAAATTTCATTTTTTCATTCTTCTATTCTATTATTCTCTTCCAAAACTTACCTGATTTCATCTTCTCTTTCTTGTAATTTTCTTGTGACATGCCTATATGAATTTTTCAAATTAACTAATTGTGTTTTTGTATTAAATAATTCTAAATTAGTTTTTTTCCCATAATTCAATGCACTTTCAATGTCTTCTTTTTGTGCATCAGTCAGATCACATGCATGAACTAATTTGCCTTCTAAACATGAACGTAACACTTCAATGGTGGAGGTTTGTTCTTTAATGATCAATTTTAATTTTAATATTTCATGTCTAGTTATAATGAAATGGAATGAAATGAAAAATGAAGAGAAAAGATTTAATTCAAACAACAGAAAGCAAGCAATTCATTACATAATCATGAATAATACAGAATTGTGTCTGTCGATAACCGAGAAATCGGGTAATGAATGAGTTGATGAGGAAATTCTCGGAGTTCTAGTTGAGAAGAGACGTGACCAATCAATGGAGTTCAACCATGTCAGGGTGTAGTAGGCAGTAACTACTACCAAAGACAAATAAATGGGTGAGGTCACGCAAAATCCGTAGATCAATCAGAGTTAGACATTAACACCGTTGGATGTCGGTCAGTTCAGTGGTCCGATGGTTAGGCGTTTGCCTACAATGCCAAAGGTATCGGTTTCGTATCCTACGAGGTGCAGGAGTCGTGGATGCGCACTGACACTGATGAGTTTCATACCGGGACGAAACGGCCGTGTTTCAGTGCTTCCAGGTTTCTAATGTTGGTCTAACAATGATTGATTAATGATTTCAAATGTGTAAAAACGCAAACCTCCGAAACTCTGCCCCAAGATAAATGATTTTGTCAGTGTATAGTGAGTGGTTAATGCCTTTCGACGTCTGAATGTTATGGGTTGCTTCAATGTGGTCTAATAGTCTAAGTGAGTAATTTTTTTTGAGATGTTAGATGATTTCTAGAACGGTAGGTAGGTAAACAGACTTCAACCATTGGCCAGTTGTCATGAGAGCGTATTTGCAGTCCTGAGTGAAACCGATCTATTTTGTGAAATTCGAATTCGGATCACTTATTTAGTATGCATTAATATATGTGTTTACCCACTCATCGCTTGTCTTAGGGTTTGAGCAGATTAATTAATCGATTTTACTCGGGTTATTCACACGAAATTATATCTTATCGCTTATGTGTGCTGTTACGGGTATACGAGCGGTTGACACTTTCCGGCTGCCTACACCGTGGAAGGTTGTTTCTTGAGGGACCTGAAAAGGAAGATGGATTAGTGTTGGTCTCGGAGACCTGGGTGCGTGACCGCAGAGTCCAAGGGACAACTGCTTGAGGCTGGTCACGCACGGCCTTTTTATGGAGGATTCCTTAAGTATAAGCTCCGCTCTTAAAGGCCCTTAGTGGGCACCCTTACCCAAGGAGACGGAAATCCGTGAGTTAGGGTGAGGTGTGACATTTTTAGGGTCGACATTTTCTAACACCTTCCTTCCTTGTGATGAGAAGGCAGCATCGCTGCAGATGCTGGTTGTCCGAGGGAAACACCTTACTGCAGTCACACCCCTCTGCAGTGAGCAGTACGACTTCACCCTCAGACCTTGAGTAGCTGCTTTTAGTCTCATCGTTCTCCAATCGACCTGCCCGCTGTCATAGTAGAACCTTCAGGAACATATGTTCCAGCCAATATAGCTCGGTTGGTTCATCACGATAGGCAAGTCCGACCACGAAGTCAAGGTAGCAGCTTCGATCGGTAGTAGTGGTTTATGTTATTTCACTTTATGTGTGTGTGTACAGTGTTTACTGCGTGTGACCTAAGACAACAAGAGCTTCATGAATACATTAAATGAAATTGTGCTTTATTCTGTTCTTGAGTATTTATTATACCTCTCTCTTATAACAATCCGGCTATTCCGAATGCTTAGTATTATTGGACACCAGTTCACACGAGACATTCTGCGAAATCAGAACAATCTTCCAATAACAAGGTTAGATAGAAATTAGAGAAGTTCACAACGTCAATATATTTATAGTTTCTACATGAGAAGATTCCAGAATGTTCCCCCCAGTACCGACTAGCACCGATTGGATACAACAGGATCAATCGTGTATGGAACATGCTTCAATCCAATCCATATCGCGCTAATGGCATTATTTTACGAAAACCGCTTTATATATTGGTCCCGATTTCACATGTTATTTGATGACAGCATAACACTCCAGTTGTCTACGCAAAATACTTCGGATTCGTTGGCCAGACACCATCACCAACAACTTACTATGGGAGAGAACATGTAGTGCCTCCACATATATTTCAGTTCTCTTACATCTAATTTGGTTAAGCCCTTTCGATTAATTTATTTAACCAAGCCGTTCGTATAGCAACAACTCATGTGTACCATTGTTATTTTTTATTATCTGGTTTGTATGAGCTTATACGACTGAGCATTGCTTACGCTTACGCACTTACTCATCCTTTTCGCTTTAATGTTAATCTCTTAATTTTCCCATGAACTCACATGATTTGTATCGCTTGCATTTGACCTTGTCAATCATTCGTTGCTTTTATTCATGTGTGTGCATATCTATTTCGCTTGTCATATGTCTGTCTTATTCTTATCTGACTATATATTCTTAGTCATAATCTATCTCTTGGAGTTGGCTCGCTAGCCTTCTCCAATTCGCTTCACTCATTCGCTCGCATTGTAATCCAAAGAGTTGGCTCAACAGCCTTCTCCTATTCGCTTCTCCTCTTCGCTCATTCGCATATTCACATATTCGCTCGCTAGTGTATCTGCTCAGTCTGTATGTGGTGTGCCTCGAATAAATGTATACGATACTTGGAGTTTATCTTCTGATTTATAAATCGAGCTTAAGAACACGCAGCCATCGGGCACACTACATAATGGTGAGCTCTACGTCAGTGAAATCGGCCACCATACAAAATGTTGAACCCGTCGTTCATTCATATCACTCCCTATTTGCTTCGCTCGATTCATTCGTCCATACGTCTTCACAGAAGATCAGTAAACTCTCACTACATAATTCGACGATTACGATGACAAATCGAATATAACCAACCAGTTGGTAATTTCGAGGACAAATCGAACAGAACCGCTAACTGGAAATCCCGACGCCATTCAGCGACAAAGCAGCTCTCCTACTTAATGCATTAGCTGAACGAATCAAGCATTATCTTATCGTCATTTTGATTATGTACCAACCTGTCGCATTAATCTATTTCTCGAATTATCCAATTATCGCTATCATTATCGTATTAATGTGAAAGAACCATTATTATGATGAATCATGATATTATGACAATAATGGAATTATCTTAATCGCTAATCGAATCGCATTTCGAATATTCTGTTCATGGCAGGACATTTGTAACTCACGGAATTATTTTACTTCTTTCGACAAAACGAACGACGTTCATGATTAAGGTGAGTTCGTTCCATTTATTTTGTCGTATCGCATTATCATGTTTCGAATCGCTTGTCAAAGCAATGGCTCAACGACAATTATTGTCCTTTAATATTTCCGTGGCTATACGATTATCGCATTGGAGATATCTTCTATGTACTCGTCAGCTGCACGTACTCGAAAATCTTGCAACCTGCTAAGTAAATTGGTGGTATGATCTTACGTACATGCATACGAAACAGCAGCTCAAGCAGTCGAGCGGACCTCCTGCACGCTGATATTAGCATGTTTTTCGACTACCCCAACGCTGGCAACGGTTTGCAACGCTATCATACACATAAGTTTGGAGTCATATACTCAATGGTAGTAACTTATGTTTTCGATATGCATTTGATTTCCATGCATCGCATCTGTACGCAGCCTTATTCTCCAAATTTTTTCCACGATAATCTCGACCGCAATTTCTTCACCTATCTGCAGCCACTTGATTTATCGATGAGCCTTACCGTAATGTCTATGCGATTATCGAATTCCGTCTTAACTGTCATGCCTAAACGATATTAAATATTTTGCAGCATTCGTATTACATTTTCGTATCGTACAACTGCTCCTAATGTATTCTATTCGAAATCGATTGTTTTTGCTAATAACCGCTTACTACATATTTTTGATATTCTGTTACTATGCGAACTTACGAACGTACTCGAACAAGGTAACTTTAATTTTCGTACCTTTCGATGTTTTCCGACGATTTTGATTTTTTTCTCGCAAACAAAGACATTTTCGTAACCTTGTTTGCTGGAAGGGGGCTATTGTAGTGCCTCCACATATATTTCAGTTCTCTTACATCTAATTTGGTTAAGCCCTTTCGATTAATTTATTTAACCAAGCCGTTCGTATAGCAACAACTCATGTGTACCATTGTTATTTTTTATTATCTGGTTTGTATGAGCTTATACGACTGAGCATTGCTTACGCTTACGCACTTACTCATCCTTTTCGCTTTAATGTTAATCTCTTAATTTTCCCATGAACTCACATGATTTGTATCGCTTGCATTTGACCTTGTCAATCATTCGTTGCTTTTATTCATGTGTGTGCATATCTATTTCGCTTGTCATATGTCTGTCTTATTCTTATCTGACTATATATTCTTAGTCATAATCTATCTCTTGGAGTTGGCTCGCTAGCCTTCTCCAATTCGCTTCACTCATTCGCTCGCATTGTAATCCAAAGAGTTGGCTCAACAGCCTTCTCCTATTCGCTTCTCCTCTTCGCTCATTCGCATATTCACATATTCGCTCGCTAGTGTATCTGCTCAGTCTGTATGTGGTGTGCCTCGAATAAATGTATACGATACTTGGAGTTTATCTTCTGATTTATAAATCGAGCTTAAGAACACGCAGCCATCGGGCACACTACAAACAAACCAGATTCCAGTGGAGGAGGAAATCAGGAAGAAGAGGTGGAAGTGGATAGGACACACACTACGAAAAGCACCTAACTGCGTCACGAGACAAGCCCTCACATGGAACCCTCAAGGCAGAAGGAAAAGAGGAAGGCCAAGGAACACATTACACCGAGAAATAGAGAAAGACATGAGGTGAATGAACAAACATTGGACAGAATTGGAGAGGGAAGCCCAGGACAGAGTTGGTTGGAGAAAACTGGTGTGTGGCCTATGGTCGATTGGGGGTAACAGGCGTAAGTAAGTAAGTAAGTAAGTAAGTAAATAACACTACAGTAGCTGCATGATTTAGCTATTCAAAAATCAATATCTGTAAAGGGGGCATCGGAATTCATTCAGATTTTATTGATTAATATTAGTGTTATTGTTATTGGATCAACTTACTTCAATTTATCAACAAATTTTGGACTTGTATTATCTTCAGTATATGAACTGCCTAATGGAGGTTTATTTGTTACTTGTAATTGTTTACATTCAAATAGTAAGTCTATAATGAAAAAAAAAGGAGAAAAGTTGAAAAAATCTGCTGTGTAAACTTATAAGTAGTAAATGAAATTTAAGAAAAAAAATGCTTGATTTAAAGTAGCATCTTCTGAACAGTTGCTTCAATTTGAATTCCGTTATCAATTCATTAAAGCTCTCTACAATTATTTTACTCTATGAATCCGTACTAAGTGTGATTGATTTATTTATCAATGTATAATATGACTAAAACTGGGGTGCTGACATTTGTTTTTAGAAGCTTGTCACTCAGGTTAATCAGCAACTAACAAACACATTGACATTGACTCAATTTATCAACGAATGCGAAAAATCATGGGTGACATAGGATCAAGAAATAGATCAAAAGGGATGCAAACAACGACACGTTTAAGGTCAACAGCAACCAATCAAGATCAAGGTTGCCACGAACAAGCTACAGATGAAACGTGAAGAAATTCGAATACTTCACTGCTTCTATCTAAAGTTTGTACTGATGATGATGTTGTTCAGAAGAAGAATAATGAAAGCTCCACAACGGAAATATACAGCTAAGAGAACGAAACACCACAACCGACATTGGTTGTTTAAACAAGGCTGAACATTTATGTTATGTAAAATATTGTTGTTAGATTTTCGATTCAGTGGTGCGACGTTATGATCTGTGATGTCATGATAATGGACGAGTAACAACAAGTTTGCTCCTCATTTGTTTCATCAGGATTCTTAAGTCGATGTCCACTGTGAGTTGGTAATGAAGGTTTTCTTACTTCCTCAGATGTGTACATCGTGCCTAACAATCCGTTTATAGCGCCGGATATTCACTTTCCATTATCTCAATTTCATGAACAACACCTTTGTCGCCAGAATTAGAACAAAAATGAACTATCTGCGCTTTTGAACGTACTAGCGCAAGTCAGACAATGCATAATGAAATACCCTATCTAATATTCTCTGTTTTTTTTCTCTAAAATGAACTTCTATCTTAAAACATTGACTAACTACCGCAGACTGCGTATGAGATTGCGCAACTCCGTGAATTGATCAAGTTAGACACCGTTAGATACCGGCTCAGTGGTCCGATGGATAGGCGTTCGCGTCCTGGGTTCGAATCCTGCGGGGTGCAGGAGTCGTGGATGCGCACTGCCACTGATGAGTCCCACATCAAGACGAAACGGCTGTCCAGTGCTTCCAAGTTTCTGCTAATGGTGGTAATCTAAGATTGATCGATTCATGGTTTCAAAAAATTGATTTCATTCAATTTGAAATATTAATAATAACAATAATAATACTGACCTGAATTTGTACGTTTTAATTTAGCGACTTCATTTTTAGTATCATTCAATTGTTTAGTTAATTTAATTAAACGTTCTCTCAGTACACATATTGTTCTAGCTTGTTGACGAACTTGTTCTCTATTACTGTCTACATCGGATTTCCAACGGGATTCACATTGTTTCTCAGTTTCTTCAAGTAATTTTAAATTCGCTTGATTTTGTTGATTTAGTCGGGATTTCATTAAACGTATTTGATTACCATTCAATTCAATTTCATGTTGTAATCTTGATAAAAGTTTATTTGCCTCTTTCACTTCGTTTAATTTAGTTTCATGGGCAATTTGTTTTTCGGTTAAAATCTTTTTTTTTCAGAGTGAAATGATATAAATAAGTGAAAAGATGAATTATACAGTTTATGATTATCATATTTTGAGATAGATAAAATCATAGGATAAGCTTGTGTTCAATATAATGGAATGTTTTGAGGAAGCGTTCTGGAGATTAGTGACTTTGCACATTTGAAATCATCAATCAATCATTGTTAGACCACCATTAGAAGAAACCTGGAAGCACTGGACGGCCGTTTCCTCCTGGTCTCAGACTCATCAGCGCATCCACGAATCCTCCACCTCGCAGGATTCGAACCCGGGACCTTCGGTCTTGTGCATGAACGCCTAACCATCCGACCACTGGGCGGGCATCCAATGGTGTTAATGTCTAACTCTGATTGAACTACGGATTTTGTGTGACCTCATCCGTTTCTCTTTGGTAGTTACTGCATACACCCGACAAGATTGATCTCCATTAGTCACGTCTTCTCAACTAGAACTCCGAGAATTTCCTCACGTAGCTAGTCACTAGTGCGCACTATTATGATATTTTGGGGCAGAGTTTTGGAGATTTGTGTTTTCACACATTTGCGCACAATACCGAAGGTCCCAGGTTCGAATCCTGCGAGATGCAGGAGTCGTGGATGCTCACTGCTGATGAGTCCCATACTAGGACGAAACGGCTGTCTTTCAGTGCTTTCAGGTTTCTAATAGTGGTCTAATAATGAAATGTGTTAATTGTACACAGTCATCAACTACGCTCATGTTGTTATACTGACAAAGGCAAGAGTAGGTTTATTATTAGGAAAGTTAAGAAAGGCCGAATCAGCAATCAGCTATGAATACATGAAGTGATTGGCTGTCACTTCAGGCTACATTAAATCAGTGTGGTTGAAAGTCACGTGACATGATATTAAAAAGTAATCATTTCAGGTGAAAATTCATCTCCCTCTTATACTCATCACTTTGACTAACTCATGTCAGTTAGAACATAATTCTGTACTTTTTTGTTCGTGTTCCTTGGCGTTCCAAGGAACACATTACACCGAGAAATAGAGAAAGACATGAGAAGAATGGACAAAAAATGGAAAGAACTGGGACGGGAAGCCCAGGACGGAGTTATCTGGAGAAAAGTGGTCGGCGATCTATGCTCATTTGGGGATAACAGGAGTAATTAAAAGTAAGTAATAATATCTTCCTTATTCTACAGTTGACGATGTGTTTGTTTCATGTCATATTGCCGATTCGGTGCATCAACTTGTGTTCATGGATGTTCACACTGACTATGATTAGCTTCTTGAATTTCAGTATCGAAATTCGATAATTTCTTCGCTTGATTTTATAAAGTAAAACTACTTCTAGATGTTGATATATTTTTCTCACTTGAATTAACATGTACCTGACACTAATCAGCCTGAAATTTCATCGTTCAAATAATAAATGGTGTTACATTTAAAATGTAATATTCTAAGGTGCTTTATTGCTCATTGACTGATGAGAGGTTATCGAACAACGTTACTTAGTCAATAATTGTAAGTTTTATTATGTACCTGTCAATAAATAAGTGCCATGTTTTATTGAAATAATCTCATAGTTCCGCTGATTCGTTGAGCAAGCATCTCTCCAACTGTCTCGCTAATCAACTGTGTTCAATGTAGTGGTCGAACGCGTTGACAGGATGGAAAATCTTACTATACATTCCATGGTTGATTTAAAAACTCATCTATTCATTGTATCAGTTAAGTAAAGTTTATAGTTTTGTGTTGGGGAAAATTCGCGAGTTGGATGCCAAACATCAAAGCCACAGTAAGTGTATATAGAATGGGTTTGATATTTCACAGTAGAAATGACTGTTAACGTTTACGTCGGAAAATTGACTGAGGTTTATTCTTAGAAGGGAACAGGTGAAACGACTTTATTTCTATATTTTACAAGGAGTTATTGGTTTCAAATGGCCACACAATTGAACATGAACTTATGTTTACGGTGACAACGGTTTGCGTATGTACACTGCACTGATTTCTGGTACATGACACTCCCAAATGCCTTTCATAACTATTGAATGTATTGTGCCAGCAGTCAACCGAGTAACCGGACAGTTGAAGACAGAAATATTTTGTAATCAACACTGACTGGCAGATGTTTAGCTAACTTATTCAAGAATCGTATTCATGATAGTCAACCTTTGCCTAGAGTACTACAAAGTAATATGTTAATATGTGTAGATTTTCTAATGAATTATACACTTTGAGATAAAAATGTCTTCATACAAAATTGACAACTCACTTGACGAGTTTCACGCAGTTGGTTTTCAAGTTGTTCAATAATTGCTTCTTTATCAGATAGTAGTTGTTCTTGTCTCATTCTTTCCGCACGTGCAACTTCTTCGACAGCTCTTTGTATTTTATCTGCATCTGTGAACAAATAGCCCAAACATTGTTGTAGTCTCTTATCAATTGAGAGTTTTCATTAAGATTATGATCATTTTGATAAAGTACACTTTTCTTCCACTGTGTCGATCGATATGGTGGGAATGTTGTGGATGCGTCTACTGAGTTTTTGGATAATTATCTAAACGTTGGTAAAGTAACTTCTGACGAAATCTTGCGCAACATTAATTTTTCTGCCTATGAAGCATCGATGGCTTCAAGTAGCAGTTCATTTAAAATTTCAAGACTATGCTTAAATAAGGCTTATGTACTTAGTAGACATCTGATATAATTGTTTCTTTATCATGGAAACCACGTAATTAATTATTTACTACAGACAGCAGAACCAAATGAGTGAGTAGACTTGAAGTCAAACGGCATAGTAGTTTATAAAAATGCTGAAATAATTGATAGAGTTACGAATGTTCACTCAATGGTAAGATTGAAATATGGATTCCTATACATTAATTACCTAACCTGATATATTATGTTGTTCAACCGAAAAGTTGGACTGTTAAATTATAAGAAGCAATCAAACTGAGATATAACACACATTCATAAAGTCATTTGAGATTGGACAGAGCTATTTTAAAATGTTCAGCTTTTCTCGTTAAGGTTCACAATACACACTCAAACTATGGTTGAGTGTAGCATCGTACAAAGGTTTGTGGTAAGCAGTATGAAATTTTGTTTTCCGTGGGATATAGACTGTTTACATCGAAACATCAAAAGGCTAGAACATTCACGTACATTAAAATTTATTAAGTAGGCTAGTTTCAGCTATTGGCAGTCGAGTGTTGATAACGATCACGGATAGTGATAAAACATCAGCTTGTTGAGGTTATCCTTTCGAAGTGTGGGATACCGAAACATAAGTTGTATAGTTTAAAGCTTTTGTTTAAATCACCCACTACACTGGACGTCTCACTAGAACCCGGAAAATTTTCCCAACAAATAAGTCTCTTAGAACTGTAGAGTTGCCAGGACGAAAATGTTGGAATATATCTCAACTGTTCACTTACAGCGTAACAACCTTCGATGTTTATGTACACTAATTACGTGCATTGCCCCTTTTCTTTTCCTGAATACAATGTAAATCTCTTTTGCATATTAGCCCGCCATTTTTTGACAAACTCATGTGCGTTGAGGTGAACACAGAGTTGAAATATTTCGGTTTTAGTTGCAACATCAACGACTGTATTTGTTGAGAACCAATAAAATCTCTATCGTCTGTTATGTTAAAGCATATAAAATGCTCACAAAATCAATGTGTTATTGTTTACAATTGATCAATCACTGGACAGTGTGACCAATGTCACATATGTCAGGTTCCTCTTGGTGGTGACCACACTCACTAAAGTGAGATTCATTTCTTACCAATGATCGGTCAATTGTAGATTTCTCTCAATTCTTCATGAGGTTAGTCGTGGCACAGAAACCTTAGTGATAGCATCTCCTCTGATTGTGAAGCTGAATAACATATGTTCGATTCTACCATGGAGCCTCGATTCCCCCCTAAAGATTACAAGTATGACTGGCTAATGAGTGCCAAGCTGCATGACAATGATGTACGTGAATTCCTGTAGACTATGTCAAACCAACCACTTCACAATGGAATGTTTTAAATAATTTCAGATTTGTATTACGGGGTTGTCAAGATTGTTAAGCTTCTTTTTTGAAACCATGAATCGATCAGTGTTAGATTGCACCATTAGCAGAAACCTGGAAGCACTGGACGGCCGTGCTCACTAGTGACTAGCTTGTTGAGGAATCTTCTCCGAGTTCCTCTAGTGGGAAGACGTGACCAGTGAAGTTCAACTCTGTTCGGGTTGTAGACAATAACTACCAAAGACTGTGTATGAGGTTGCGCAACTCCGTGAATTGATATAAGTTAGACAGTAACACCGTTAGATAACGGCTCAGTGGTGCGATGGTTAGGCGTTCGCGTCCTGGGTTCGAATCCTGCTAGGTGCAGGAGTCGTGGATGCTCACTGCGACTGATGAGTAGTCTGATACCAGGACGGAATGGCCATCTTTCGGTGCTTCTTCCAGGTTTCTGCTAATGGTGTAATCTAACATTGATCGATTCATTGTTTCAAAAAAAAAATGTATTTCAGATTTATTGATTTAAACAAAATATATATGACTCTTACTTTCATAATTTAATTTCGCCATTTTATCATCCATCTGGACTTTCCATTCATTTTGAATCAATGATTTAATTTTCAAAATTTCTTCTTCATGTTCCATTTCATTACTTTTAAATTGTTCTAATAAATCACATTTCTGTTGAATTGTTGTAGTTGCAATTTCAGCTAAACGTCTTATAATACTAATTAAATCATATTGATCATTTAATGTGCTTATATCTACTAATTCAATAATGTAAGAAACATATGAAAGGTAAGTAAGTAAGTAAGTAAGTAAGTGCATAAGTAAGTAAGTAAGTAAGTAAGTAAGTAAGTAAGTAAGTAAGTAAGTAAGTAAGTAAGTAAGTAAGTAAGTAAGTAAGTAAGTAAGTAAGTAAGTAAGTAAGTAAGTAAGTAAGTAAGTAAGTAAGTAAGTAAGTAAGTAAGTAAGTAAGTAAGTAAGTAAGTAAGTAAGTAAGTAAGTAAGTAAGTAAGTAAGTAAGTAAGTAAGTAAGTAAGTAAGTAAGTAAGTAAGTAAGTAAGTAAGTAAGTAAGCAAGTAAGCAAGTAAGTAAGTAAGTAAGTAAGTAAGTAAGTAAGTAAGTAAGTAAGTAAGTAAGTAAGTAAGTAAGTAAGTAAGTAAGTAAGTAAGTAAGTAAGTAAGTAAGTAAGTAAGTAAGTAAGTAAGTAAGTAAGTAAGTAAGTAAGTAAGTAAGTGCATAAGTAAGTAAGTAAGTAAGTAAGTAAGTAAGTAAGTAAGTAAGTAAGTAAGTAAGTAAGTAAGTAAGTAAGTAAGTAAGTAAGTAATTAAGTAAGTAAGTAAGTAAAAACAGGGGAAAAAAATGAATCAACATTTTAAAATTATTCTGAGAAATAAAAAAATATAACTTTGATGGATGAATTCACTTGTTAATGATGTAATTTTTTGTTCGTTTATCCTCAAGGGTCATGAGTCGATCGGTGTTAAATCATTACATCCAGCCATATTGTGTTGCTAGGTTTCGAATTCATGAGATTACATTTCACCGAATAATTGACAGATTACAAGTCAATGAATCAATGAAAGACAAGTACAACGCAGAACTTTGTACGTAAGTACATCAGTTCAGGTTAAACATCGTTAGCTGTGTTTCAGTTTGAACAGCTAGAATGCATCTGAATGGTTTGAACATGTCAAATTATAATCTAGCTGTTATATCCTACACACAACAACAAATTGAAGATAAGACAACGTGTGTAACAGTTGTCTCTGCAGCAGTAAGTCTAAACATACATAAGGGAAAAGGGAAGATTCTTTGACACAGCATAACATATGTCAAACATGATGGAGAAGCGTTGCAAGATGTACGAAATTTCGCATCCGTGATGAGACAAAAGGATCTGATACAGGTGTGATGGCTTGGATTTCGAAAGCAAGGGGAGAACTTCTACAATTGAAGAACTTCTAATACTAAAAATACCAGTCGACTAAGACACATGTCAGAATTTTTAAAATAAAATGCCTAGACACTTAAAATGCATGGGGCTGGAACTTCGAGAACCAGGAGGTGCATCATCGACAAGATAAAAATGTTTATTACCAAATGTCCACCAACAATACTGGCCATCTGTTGGTCAGAAACCATCGACGGCAACCTGCTCGGGAAGAGAAGGAATCAGATTTTAACAGAGGACGAAATCAAGATGTAGCACTGTAAGTGGTTAGGACACACATTGAGGAAACACAGCTTAACTGCTATACAAGTTAAGCTAACACATTGGATCCTCATGGCTAAAGGAGAAGAGGAGAACAAAAGAACACCTTTCACCGAGAACCGGCGACAGACATGAAATAAATGAACAGCATTTATATAGAACTCTAAAGGAAGTCTCAAGACACAGTAGCTTGAACAATGCTGTTCATCGACATTCAATGCTCTGGAGTAACAAGAGTAAGTAACTAAGTAAGTATGTGGTTCAATTAATTCATGCTTAAGCCTGTCGAATTTTCAGCAAATCGATATTCTGAAGTTTTAAACTGAAATATCAGCATATTATGGTCATCAGATGTCTTTTCACTGGCGGGAAATACTAAGCTTCCAGTACAGCCTAAATAAAAACCAAACATTAAGAACACAAAAATTGCTCAACCAGAGTTTAAAACAACGGATAATTCAAGTTGAAGGACTGGATATTCATCTTTAATAATGTATGTGTGTCACAATGAAATCGTAAATATTGTTTGAAATAAGATAAACCTATGCAGTCGCGTAAACACTTGTAACGTATTTGAGTACAGTTCAGCAATTTATTTTGAAAAAATAAGTATGGGGTTCACTGCAGAACATCGAGATCCATTTGATCCTGCTGACTAGCTCTCAGTAGCATCTAAGTTCATGATTGATACGATTGAGGATAGATAAATATATATATTATCAATTACGTATTAAAACTAGGGTAAGGAATCGACATTTAACATTTAGGCGAAAAGTATAATAATAATATTTATTCTCAAATGACTACGTTACAAGAGGCACGCCAGTTTGCAAGCTAGATCAAATTGTTACAAATGCTTTCACATTTACTGTAAAAGTTATCGCAGTTAAATTAAGTACAAGAGTCAGTTTCTGATAGCACATTTACACCATGTCACTGACAGAAACAGGATGATAAAGTTATATTTTCATCAAGAGAGTGCAGATAGTGAAGGTGAACATAAGGTATAGGAGAAAGAAATTTCAGATATATTCTTGTATAGCTGACTCATTCTCAACTCCGTGTCCATTCTATGCTTCATATTTTCCGATAATATCCATGAGAGATCTCCTTCGTTTGCATCTCACATAATCTTTAAGACTTTGTTATTCGTGCACGTGGCAGCGGATATCCACTGTGAAATAATTCCATTCAGTTGTTGGCTGTATTTGATTCATTGGTGGACCGCGACCGGATAATTGTGAACATTTACATATGTTGTGAAATGAATCTTCTCATCATTTCCGGTATGTTATACTCAGGCTAACCTCATTTGGGTGATGGCTTAAATAAGAAGCTAAATACGGATTCAGTTGTATGATTTTTTTCAGGTAGACGATCATGCTAACATGACAATGGAAATCATACAAGCAAAGTGAAGTGAAATGAAGTGGAGAAGGCAAGGAAGTCAACTCGATTCCATGAGGCTTGACTAAGCGAAAATGATGAGACAGAGTAAGCTAGACATGTAATAAGTGAGATAGGAGTACGTACTTAGAATAAGGGAAACCAAGAAATGAGCGGATGACTGACAAAGTCAAAACGCAAGTGAGGTAAATAATTTATGCAATAGCTGGGACCAGCCCTGTGAGATAGACATAACAGCACTCTCTACAAACTGATGAAAATGCCTTCCAGGGCACAATGTGTTCAACACCTTCTATCTGCTGTTAATTCGTTACCAAAACTAGCCTTCTAAATCGACCACTGGAAACCTCATGACTTAAAATTCACTTTTCAATCAGTGTTATGATTAATCAGTGACTACATTTCAACTGTCATTATCATTCATAAACAACAACAGCTGTTTGATAAAATATTCATTTATCAGCTGGGTTTCTATCAATATAAAACGAAATCACTTTGTATGAACTAATGGCTTAGTATGTTGTTATACAAAAGATTTTGTTAGCAATATTGAGATTAGATGAGTGTATCGTCAGGTTTCAGGCGGTGAAACGTATCAATAGATTATTCTGCGTTCAGCTGACTTCGTAAGGTGAACAAATCTAAAACTATTTAGTAAAATGAACGTTTCGTGTCAGTTGTCTCAAACAAACGTGAACCATACCATTCAGAAAATTCATAGAGTGGTAAAGATTGTTTGTGACGAAAACGGGTGGAAGGAAGCGGAACTCTCATGAAAAATAATTGCTTTACCGAGGGCTGTGAAAATTGGAACATAGGAGGTGAACGAGAAAGCTGTCAACCTCCTGTGTTAGTCAATGACAAGTATTTCATATTTGACAAGTCAATTGTCACAGTCTGTCATAACCTACCAGTATCCTGTGACTGTATTGTTCCAACAGCCTCTTGTGCACTGTCTTCAAGACGTTGTTGTGTGTTCACCTGATCTTGCAAATCATCCAACAAGATACGATGAAATCGTTTCAAACTTTCGCTTGTCGGAACATAGGCATTGAGTGATTCAATCTGTTGTTTCAGTCGTGATGATGAACGAAATCCTTGTGTATCTTTCATGTTTTGCTAAGGTGGAATGAAATCAATCGATAAAGAATTTGTTAGTAACTGTGAGGATGTGTGATAATAAGTGAGTGAATAATACTCGAAACTGGATTTATCAGTCTCGTTCAGCATGTGGTTCACAAATGAATATCCTGTTGTTGCTTGTACTTATGAGTTGATGATGCGCTGATAGTGTGTAGTGGAGACTGTTTATTCCATGATGTGAGGCATTTGTTTTACGAAAGAGAAAGCACTGCCACTGCACAAATGGGACAGAGGTCAATAGGACGTGAACAGAGATCGACAAATCTCACTTTCAGTCTAGGGTTTCTGTTTCGAACTTCAGTCGATATTACTATTATTGATGTCTTCCTAATGAGGACATGGTTGAAAGGGGTTATGTATACATGAACACTTCCGTCAAATGGCACATGATAGTAGTTTGTCAATATGAAATGGTTTCTTCTGTTGCTTGTTACACCACATTTTAGATTGTATTATAGTCTATGTAGTAGATCGAATTATCTGTAATCTATAAATAACGCTTCAGTTTTGGATATGTTTCGGCCAAAACATGTACTACATGTGCGTCAGTTTCGTTTTGTTTTTTTTATATACAGAGTTGAGCACTACACGATTATCTGACTGATCTCTCCATCTACATATATGTAAACAGTGAGTTTTTGTTGAACAATGTATCATCGCTCACCCTTAAAACAATTTATGCAGAAAATTATCGACATTTTGACTAGTAGGGATATTTTAAAATCGCGATAGTGAGTAGTTAATTAACCATAGAATGTCTTTGACAATTTCCATTCCTAACAAACATTATTCAATAGATAATGGAATAAATAAGATTTATCTGTCATTAGCGCAAAACCTGACGCGCAATTACTTTGTCAGAAAGATTTAACAAGTGTAAACTATCAATAAAGCAATCACACTCAACAAAATCACGTTACATCTAAGCCTTCAGCTCAAACATGTCAGTACGCTAATTATCCTGATCCTAAGCATAACAATTTCTTCATTATTTCA